ACACACCGGCGCTCAGGTTGCCATAATCTTCACTCCTGCGTTGACCTCACACCGATGGCGGTGCCGTGGTCGACGTGCTCGCTATAAAGTCTCTGTGTGTATGAATGTGTGTATGTGAACACGCAGGAATGCAGATGTTTGATTTCTGAGGAGAAGCTGAGGGCAGTAGATGATCACACACAGGAGCCTGGGTGTGACCCCTGACCCTGTGGGCCCCTGGATCTGTGCCTGGCATACCCTGTTCAGTGATGTGCAGTAAGAATGGCAGGAAATCCTGGAGTGTAAATAAGAACATGTTTTCACTTTTTCCCCAAATCTTTCTGCCTCATCATCACACACTGCTGATAACACACACTCCTGTCTTTGTGAGGACCCTCTCTGACTCAGCAACATGCAACGAGACCGCGGCCTCAACCCAAACCTGAACCCTGCAACTATGCCTGAAGGTTTGAAGGCCTGAATATAAGAATAATGAATAAGTACAATGTTTAAATAGTTTATCTGAGGTACACACGATCAGTCCTTGCTGTACTACTCGAACAAAATGAACTCCATGTTGGATTCAGTCAGAACTGAAATTGGTCAGGAGAAAGTTCACTGAGCTCAGAGATCAGCTGAGCAGGATGATCATTTTTTTGATGTTACAGACGTTAAACCCCTCATTTACACCCCTAATTTACACTCTGGGAATGCACAGATCCTAAAACTCAGGGCACTGTGGTGTCTGTCTGTTGCAGAGTCCAGCCTTACTGCATCCAGGTGCTGATGATCAATGCACTGATTAACTGATCGTCACCGTCGGTCTGAGCTCCTCTACCAAAGGACATGTTTTAGCAGTTTGAAGGTGTGGTCCATTCAGACGTTTATGTTACAGTAAATTATTTACAGGGTTACACTGATCAAAAAAATAAAAAAATAAATTCCAAGAGCTACATCTCAGACTCTGCAGGCTTCAGTTAGCAGGTTAAAGGTTAGAGTTCATGACAGCATGGTTAGAAAAAGGCAGAACAGGAATGGCTGTTCAGAGGGGCTGGAGGAGAAAGCCTCTTCTCAGTAAGAGGACATAACAGCAGGGATCAGGTTTGTAAAGCTGCATCTGAACAAAGACTTCAGGAACAACATCCTTTGACAGATGAGACCAAATGTAGATGTTTGTCCATCATGCACAGCAAACAGCTTGGATCAAGTGTCAGCACGGTGGAGAAGGGATGATGATCTAAGTGCACCTTGAACTTCTTTTGTGGTTCTTCAGTGTGAGGCCATCTGTCCCACAGATAAAGTTGGGACCAGCCTGGGTCATCAACAGGACAAAGATCCAAGCACAGCAGCAAATTTGCAACTGAACGGCTGAAACAGAAAAGAATCGAGCTGCTGCAGAGCTGAGAGAGCTGTGCACAGTTCAGATCAGTTTGAATGTTTCTCAAATTGTTTCTACGGTCTGATGTTTCATCAGCTGTTCTTTTGTTCCTGCTGTTTAAACTGTCAAATGAAAGAAGTGATGCGTCCATCACCGACTGACAGACAGGATACTTTCTCCTAACTTTATTTAAACACATCCATGTGAACAAAGCTGTGCAGGTTTAATATGTGTTATATGTTTGTTATATTTACATCTTCCTGATGTCTTTGATTTAAGAGTGACTCACTCTGACATCAACACAGTCAGATTTTAACATCAGACAGCTGTGAAGTGTTTTTAGTCATTCTTTTATTCACAAATCAAAAAGAAGACTCTTCTCGGGTGAGGTGGAGGCAGAACGGGCGGGGCCTTCTGTGATCAGATGTAATGAAGTACTTTTACTCTACGTCATCAGCTGCCTGTACAGCTATACTGCTGTACTTCCAGCTGGAATGCAGTATTTCCTGTTTCTGGATTATTCACATGGTTTCCTTCTTTCAGGATGCCTTTTTGGGAATGTTTCTGGAATATCCTGTGAGGAGTTTTATGGTTTGTTAAAGACAAACTGAACCAAATCTCCTCTAACACAGACTCGTCTACATTTTCTCTACCAGGCATTTTATTTTTTATTAGTCAAAGTATAATAAACCGTATTTGTGTCGGAACCTTTAAACAAACTCACAGCTTTTTGTTCTGTTGTTTTCATGTTTTTGTTAATAAAGTTTGCCAACAGAAACTGAACAAAGAACTCTTCACGTCCACATTTACGGGATCGTTTCACCTTCTGATGTCAGTTTGATTCTTTTTGGACAGAAATTACAAAAATATGATTCCATACCAAATAATCAACTTTTAAAAATTATTTACACATAAATATCTTTATTTTAAAATATGAAATCAGTCTGTGGGCTGCAGAACTGGTGAGACTGATCAGGAGTCCATCTGGTGTGCTTCAGTCATTCAGATTTTCAGATTGAGTGTGCAGCAGCACTGATCCTCCTCCTGGTGGCACTCTGAATGCTTCAGAAACATCACGTTGGAGAAGTCCGTCCAGTCTGAAACATTAAAACGTTTAGGCAGTAAAATCCTGTCCTGGGTCTGCTGCTCACAGGTGAACATGAAACAGCTCACACAGGAGGCATGCAGGCTGTCACGTGGCTCACCTGGATCTTTCCACATGGAGCAGCAGCTCCGCTCTGAGCTCCTCGCCACATCGACAGGTAAACTTAAGGCTTCACCTTCACTGCTCGGCCCTCAGGCAGCTGCTCACCCTTTTCTTCTGTGACTTTTCTGCAGGTTTACTCTAATGGTGATGTTATCAAGAGAGAAGGTGAAGCTGTGCCATGTGCTGCTGTAAATGAACCAAGTACTGAGGATCTGTCTTCACCTGAGAGGTTCAGTCCTTCCTATATTTACACTCTTTCAGATCCAGATTTCCAATTTGTCTCTTTCCACAAATCCTTCTTTTATTCCAGGTGTTCTTCTGTTACCAGGTATCATGCTGAGGTGAATGAAGGTGAGCTACGTGTTCCACATGTTTCTGTTTCCAGGTGTGTTACTTACAGGTGTGCATGTCGTTCATGCTCTCGCAGCGCCTGCAGTGGACGTAGCAGCACCACACAAACTTGCATTCGCAGCGCTGGACGTGTCTGACCACGTGTGTGTTGTATCCTCTGCCGCAGCACAGCAGGTTGCAGCCGTCCGGCCCCGTGGACGTCCGGTTGCACCGGCGCCCTCTGGTGCCCGCGATGCCCCGCCGCCTGTCCTCCAGACAGTAGTTTGGAGACTTGTTGAGGAAGATGAGCTGGTGTTTGTCTACATGGAGACGCCGCTGGTCCTTCCACTTCATCTTCCTCTTGGATCGCTCAGTCACCTGCATGCTGTGCTCGTATCTGTCCTTCAGATACGTCCCGACCCGCTCAAACGGCGCCATCGTCCTCCAGCATGTCTTCACCGCGCAGGAGCCAGAAACACCGTGACAACGACAGTCTGTGGACATTGTCCTGTTGATCGCCTGCAGACGCAAACAGGAAGTTAATCACACCTTGGACCTTTAGACTTTCAGCTTTAGTTTGAGTCGCCGACGTTCACCTGTCGCCCGGCCTCGCTGTTGTGCTGGTTCATGGTGTTCAGCGTGTAGCTGCTGTGGCTCATCGACATGTTCTTCACGGTGTGGTCCATGAACTTGCGGCTGAACCACGTCCCGTACTGGATGTGATCTGAGCAGCCGCCCCAGTGCCAGCCCTCTGCTGCTGAGCCGCCGCCCCGCAGCCGAGCATCGCAGCCGCACTCCGTCATGTTGCCCTGGCTGCAGGAGCGCGTGACGGCATGGACGAGCCCTGCTGCCATCACCGCATAGATGAACGCTGTCTCTTTGGTTCCTGCAGTGACAGAATGGGCAGACATGACACTTATTTCAGGAGGTTTCATGAGGTATACTTTCATCGTCTCAGATGCTTCTTCGCGCATTGGTTAACAATCTTCACCTGATTCAGAGTACCCCTCAGAAATGAAGGCAGAACCACTCTGTACTGGTCACACTCCAGCTGTTTTTATCTTTCAGTCCAAAACTAAAAGCAGTCAGTGTTAGCAGACAGGCGAAGTCCTGTCAGTTAAAATTCACTGGCTATCTAATAATTTAATATATAATTAATAGATTTTATATTTAAAAGTGTATTAAAATAAAATATTAAAAGTCTGTGTAAATGTTTTAATATTTATGCTTATTTCAATTTCATATCATCACTTCACATCCATTTTCATCATCAGAAGAAAATGGGTGGATATGGATGGAGGGTTTTTCAGACTGAGGTGCAGTCTCTGTGAGTTTCACAGTCTGTGGTCTCTGTAAAGTCTCATATTCAGATGTGCTGTCTGAAGTATTCTGGTCCCATTGAGGAAGTGAAGAAATCCTTTATCGCTAAGACTGGTATTGGTGCTAAAGGGAGCCCTCTACAAGCAGAGACAGGAACTGCAGAAAAAGATTTAAATGATTTCTGAAACCTGAATTTTCTGCTTTGAAGTCTGAAAATTAAACTGAAGGAGAACATTTCTCTCTGTGATGAATTTAATTTACAAGTCATTGAATGAAATGAGGTCATGTGACTACATTATGGGTTTCTGTGCACTCTGACCATCACAGATATACATAAGTTTGTTAACCAGTGTTTTTCCTCAGACTGTAAAAGCTGATTTTACTCTCAGCGACCTCTGACCTCTCACACTGTGACCCTTGATGGTGTTACTGAATGCCTTGTTGTTGTAAAAATTCTTACTCTATTTACCCTTTTCCTCACTCTGCCTCACCAAACCAGACTTATCTTGTTTCCTCTTTTACTTTCTCTCGACTGATTGGCTCTGGAGTTTGTCCCCTAATTAAACTCACCATGGCGCACATTATACAAAAATCTAATCTATTCTCAGAGAAGCTGAGCTAACACACGCCTGAGTGGAAAAAAATACATTATTTCAGATTCATTTCAGCCAATCAGAAGCAAGTTAAAATGGCCACTGTACATGTTCAGTAGGATTCTGTGGCTGCTTTTGGAGAGCTTTGGAACAAATAAAGTTTCAGTGAGCAGTGGTGGTTAAGTTACTTAAAAACAGTAATTAGTTACTTCTCCAAATCACTTTATTTCTCCAAATCCCTTTACTTTAGTGATTACTTATTTTCAAAAGTGTAATCCACATTATTTCCTTGGGGATTAATAAAGTATTCTGATTCTGATTGTTTCAGGATGACCTGCCATTATCCAAT